TATGGAACGCGCTCCTAGATGTGTGGCCATTAAATCAAAACAGCTAATTAAAATTGGAAATAAAAGAGTTTCGAACATCCATTGTCTGTATTTATTTTGATTAACACAACGTTTCGATCTGAAGAATCACTGACCGTTATCAAGTGTAAACTAAACTAATTCCTAAAACTACTGAGATTTTATAGTGCAGCCAGGCATTCACTGTAAAAAAGTTGGTGGCAGTCAACCGCGAGATTATCCACTTAGAATGCCTGCATTGGAGCTCAGTTTTATCAGTGGTTACCATATCGGAGATATTTCGGTACTATTGCTAAAGATGTTATTATTGTTTGCTATAAAAACGGCTTCTTTAAATTTACGCTTTTTCCAATGAGCTTCCCTGTGGACAACCCGAGCTTCCAACCCCTTTATATTGTGCTGATTTGACGAAACATGATCCGCAATACTTGACTTTATTGTTTCACCTTTTTGTACATGTTTTTTGTGCTCTAGTCGTACATTTAGAAGACGTTTAGCCTCTCCAATATACGACTCACCGCATTCACAAGGTACCTTGTAGATACACTCTTTCTCTTGTTTCAATGATTCCGGTCTTGTTTTTGTTAGGATGCTTCTTAGAGTCGATCCAGATTTGAAGACAGTTTTAATGTTATACTTTTTGGCTATTCGCCTGATCTTTTCTGACGTTGCTTTTACATATGAAATAGTCAAGAGAGATCAGTGAGTTAGCTTTACAAGTTGATATAAGTTTGTCTAGGGACTTCTCAGAGTAACCATTCTGAAGGAAATCCGTCTTAATATTATTTAATTCGACATTAAGTAATATTTCTTCTTCTCTTCTTCATTTTTCTCAGCCTCTGGTTCCATCCAGTATTGGATATAGGCTTCTTCTAGGTTTTTCCATGCTTCGCGATCTCTCGCAATCTTATCCATTGTCTTCCTGCCACTGTTCTGACGTCGACGACACATCTCTTTTTTGGTCGACCTACACTTCTTGTTGTTCCCCTAGGTCTCCATAGAATGACTTTTTGGGGCCAGACTTGCCACTCTTTTAACAACATCTATTAGTTTTGTTTTTTGACGTATGTGGGTATTCCGTATTTTTTCCCTAATGGTGACTCCCAACATGATTCTTTCCATGGTTCTTTGTGATACTCGTAGTTGTTCTGCTGTTTTTCTGGTAATTACCATAGTCTCTAAGCCATACGTAAGCACAGGTAGAATGCAGCTGTCGTAAGCCTTTTTATTTAGGTTGATGGGCACTTTTTTATCCTTGAAAATATCGCTCATATTTCCAAATGCTACCCATGCCAAATAGATCCTGCGTTTGATCTTCGTATTTTGGTTCTCTTTCCCAGCTTGATTTTATGACCTAAATATATATAATGGTCTACGTTTTCATTAACAACAGACAGGGTTGTCTACGGTAATGTTATGGATATTGTTGCTTATTATCTTGGTCTCCTGCAAGTTCATTTTAAGGCCAATTTTCTGGGACTGGTCATTTAGCTCCTTTAGCATGGTGTTCAGTTCTGGTATGTCGGTGCTCAGCAAGACAATATCGTCCGCGAACCTAATGGTGCGTCCAAACCTAAGGAGTCGAGTGCGAGACGAGAGCAAGACAAGAGCGAGATAAGAGCGAGGCAAGAGCAAGACGAGTGCGAGACGAGAGCAAGACATTTTCTATCCATTTTTTTACGCAAGCCTGCCGCGAGACAAGCGAGTTGGATCATAGTGAAAGGTGACCGGTTTGTGTAAACATGTCCAATGAAAAACCTGCAGCAAATAATAACACATAAGTAATAAATTTTTGTATCTTTAACATGATATTTGGTTTGTCGTATTTTATTCATCGTCGATTTTTCCCCTCTTATGGTGCGTCCAGACCTGAGCAGTCGAGTGCGAGACGAGAGCAAGACAAGAGCGAGACAAGAGCGAGGTAAGAGCAAGACGAGTGCGAGACGAGAGCAAGAAATTTTCTATCCATTTTTTGACGCAAGCCTGCCGCGAGACAAGCGAGTTGGATCATAGTGAAAGGTGACCGGTTTGTGTAAACATGTCCGATGAAAAACCTGCAGCAAATAATAACGCATAAGTAATAAATTTTTGTATCTTTAACATGATATTTGGTTTGTCGTATTTTATTCATCGTCTATTTTTCCCCTTTTACCCTTCATTTGTTTCGAGACACGACGTCTTTTACAAAATTCGTTTTTTAGAACAAAATGTTAAATAGAAATGTTATAGGAAAGGTTAAAAAGCACATTTGAAAATTACTGTAGAGTATACAGGGTACTTCAAAAAGTGTTACGTATATACCGGGTGCATCTCAAAAGTGGCTCACCCCTATAACTTTTATTTTTTCAGATAAAAAAAACGAGATTTGGTATGCTAGTATATGACATAAATTAGGATTGATTGACATATTCAATTGTTTTCGGCCATTTCCGGTTTCACCTGAAATAACTACAATATGTGATTTTTAAATGGGACCCTCGGTATTTTTTTACTTTATTCGAGAAAAAATAACACTCTGACTCTCTCACACGCGGTATGTTTTAATGGGAATACCCTATTTTTTATTTTATTAGATTCCACGTGCAATTCGGTAACTTTTTTTGCATATTATATTATATACATATCTAAAATAATCGATTTTGTAATAATTCAATTTGTTTAAAGAAATATTAGATTTGGGTACGGTAAAAAGTGTTGTAAAACAAATCAACCGCAAAATTTGTGAATTCTATTAATAGAATTTACAAATTCTATTTTAAATAGTCGAAATTCATTAATATATGTTGAACACACTGTAGCATCTAACTAAAATAACTTTACCTATATCTCTTTCTTCGTGCCTATAAAACTATCAAATTAAACTAACTTAAATAAAACTATTAAATAAAACTAACTAACAAATTTTAGCACTCCAACTTCAGAAACAATAGCATTAATGACAATTTTATACGACTCTGAAATCTAACATTTTTTGTTTAAGCAAATTGAAATATTACAAAAAAATATTACAAAAACTATTAGTTTTAGGTATATAACATTATACCTCGCATTATATATAAAAAAGTTATAAAATTTTACGCAGAATCTAAAAATAAAAAAAAATAATGTATTACATTTAGAAAACTATATATCGAATATATAAATCGATTAATTTCAGCTGATCTTCTTCCTGAAAGTCTCCATTTCAATATGCACTATAATGAGCTAATATCTCGCAGTCGAGCGAGCCTACCAAAAACACGTCCAGACTTGGCTGCGAGCTTTCTTTGATCTCGGCCGTTGAAAAACCGACAGGAAACGGATAGCAACGAGGCTACGTAGGTTGTCTCGCGAGACGGTCGCGAGGCTCTTGCGAGACCCCTCCATCCTTTGAAAAACACCGCAAATTTGGAATGTCTCGCGCTCGTCTCGCACTCGACTCCTCAGGTCTGGACGCACCATAAGATGGCTAAGGTGTACCCCATCAATGTTTAGACCTCTATTTTCCCATTCTAATTTCTTGAAGACATTTTCCAGTGCCAGTGTAAATAACTGGAGAGGGATGGTATCTCCTTGTCTCACGCCCTTGCCGAGTGGTATTTTTCTGTTTTGAGGTCATCATCTAATTTAACTTGGAAGGTTGCATTATCATAGATATTTTTAATAATGGAATAATATCTTGAATCGATTCTCGCGTCCTCCATTGCAGCAAGAAATGACCAGGTTTCGATGCTGTCAAAGGTTTTTTGGTAGTCTACAAAGACCAAATGTAGCGGTATAGGTATTGTAGTCAGTTGTTTTTTCAATGACTGTTTTGATTGTTTGTAGATGATTGATGGTATTAAAACATTTTGGAAAGTCTGCCTGTTCTATTGGCTGATAGGAATCTAGTTTCGTTATAGTCATTCGGTTGTTGATAATCCTAGTGAAGAGCTTGTATAGGGGCGAGAGAAGGCTCTATATTCTGCATTTTTCCATGCGTCCGGGATTCTACCCTCCATCAGACATTTATTTAACAATACTTCCACGGCGTCCACTAATGGTTTTCCGCCCATCTTCAGCATTTCAGGTGTAATACAATCTTCTCCTGGGCTTCTGCCATTTTTTATTTGTTGAAATGCGTATTTAATTTCTGTGGTTGATATTTCTGGCATGTCTTCTGGTGTTTGCTCGATGACATAAAGTTTGGTTTAAATGCTTCAGACGGGTTCGACTGAAAACTTAAATACTGCTCCGTGTGTGTGTGGGTTTTCTGTATACAGAAGTCTTAATAGGTCCCCCATTTCAACTAACAAGGACATCTAGAAACGGCAGACAGTGGCCTTTCTTTTTCTCAATCGTAAATTTGATGGAATCATTTTGTGAACTGAGATGATTAAGAGAGTCCAAATGTCTGTCGGTTCCGTTCCATATTATGGAAGCATCGTCATCATATTACGACCAACTTTTTCACGGGTGAATGCCTGGCCGCAGTATAAAAGCTCATTAGTTTTAGGTATTAGTTAACGGTTAGTGATCCGTCTGACCGAAATGTGCTAATCAAAATAAATAAAGACAATGGAAGTCCGAAATTATTTTAGCTTCAATACTTTCTCATTTTCTACCACATTCAAAGAAAAGACAATTGAAATTTGCAGCTATCTTTCTTGTAAGGTTTATTTAGACTTTTAATATGGGGGTACGCTGTACAAATTTGGTAATATCAACAAATAATTATGTAATTAAAATTAAAAACTTACTGACGTAAATTGTATATGGCACGGCTGGTCTGGATCTATAGAATCTTGTAGAGCATATACATTTTTTACTCTGGAATCAGTTGCAAGATCAAGAATTTCTTGGAATTTGAAGGCTCCTCTAAATATTATAAATGTTAATTTAATTCCAGAAGAACTTTATTGATTTACCTCAAGTCCTCTTCTGTAATTACAATTACATTTTGCAGAGTGGGCATACGTATACATTTTAATTTGCCAGGTTCATTAGTAGATATTTCCGGAGATATTTCATTCAGAAAATCGTAATAGTTTTGAGTTTTAAATTTGTAATCGCTGATGATACATTTAACTCCTACTTTATTAATGCAGTATTCCAGTTCTGAAGGCTGATAAGCAGAATTAATGTTAACCTGTAAGAAAATATTCATACATATAAATTAAACTCTATATTTTATGTATATTGGTTATCCGCATAAAAAAATCCTTCTAATATCACAAACGGGTTTTCGCACCAACCGCGGTACCGTTGATTCTATATTCTCCGTCCGCCAAAACAGGAAAAAGTAAAGGAGCAACAGAGTAAACTTTATGCTGCATTCATCGACCTAACAAAATCCTTCGACTCTGTAAACAGAGATACACTTTAGGCAATTATGAAAAAGTTCGGAGTACTCAACAAATTTCTTACAATTATTAGCCAAAGCCTTCATGGATCACTGAGCGATCCCTTCTGACAAATACAGGAGTTAGACAGGGGTCTTAGCGCCTCTCCTTTTTAACATGTTCAAACAGGAGGTTCTATCTCATAGTGAACAGCAAAATGCAGGAAAGAGGAATGGGGATTAGATAGAGATACGACGGCGTGGCGGTCTGCTCAATATAAAAAGACTCAGGGCAAAAATACGTATAAAATTCATCACAAAACTTCGATACACTGATGACTGAGCTCTAATGCCGAATACATATATCTGGATATGCGAGGCTTTGGGCCTTAGGCTGAGCAATGATAAAACTCAAATAATGTGCAGTCCCCCGGAAAATCACAATAATGCTATAAAAATCGGAGAAATATTCGAATATGTAGCGGAATTCAATTACATCGGCGCGGCGGCAGTTGGATTTCGGAAAAGTGTCTCGCTCTAAAATTTAAAACAGAATTAGCAGCGCATCAAGAGCATTTTGGAAACAGGAGGTTCGCTTTGTAGAAAACACTTTTAATTTATGATTGTTCATGACTTGAACTTACAAAAACGAAGCTTGCAGTGTACCTAGCAATAATAATCCCCACCCTGTTATATGGAAGCGAAACCCTGGGTGCCTTACCGCCGGCACATGAACGCATTAAAGAAGTTGAAAGGGAGACACCTTAGACAACTGTCAAGAATCAAATGGTATCACCATGTCACCATGTATCAAACTGTATGTAATGTATCGGTCTTTGAAAAAAGCTAGCTGCGAGAGCACTGAAGTCATGAATACTAAATCCCGCTTAAGACGACCTGGGTACGTATGCAAAATGCAAGAAAACAGCTTACGTACCCTAAGAAGAAACCGTACGTAAGAAGAAACTGGATGGACAACTCAAAAAGTTACAAAGATATTTTTCATAAAAACTTAAAGGGGGATGCTGGCTATTATAAAACTAAATGCAGAATTGAGTGGGAGGAAGCTTGGCGCACAATATAACGCAATGGAGAAAGAATTGTATAATCAGTTAACAACTACAACCACAAAGTAAAGAGGCAATAAAGTAATGAGATTTTCAATGTCCGGAGTGCAGAAGAGATAACATCACGTATCAGGCTTTTCAGTCTCAGAAAAGCTCATGAAAATAAAACGCCTTGCATACGTATCTTCTGATGCGTGGCCAAATACTCGTCAGAGAGTAATGGTAGTTTTCCGCATAACAGTGAATTCTATGGATATTGAAGGCTATTATCATTGTTTATACTCGTATATTAACATATATTCAAAGCTATTATTTTCAAATAATAATGGCATACTAAATTTTTAATATATTTTTTAACTTTTGAGGTGCTACCATTCTAGAGATGTATGATGACCGAGGTTATAACTCGTTATAACTCAAGAAAAGGGAACATACAATAGATCTGTAAGGTTGCAGTGACTAACTCCTCCTCCTAAACATTCTACCTTCCACAACATGATTAATAAAAAAGGAAAATTACCCTTACCAGAATATAACCACCTCGAGCGCAGGCCATATGCGTCAAATACCATTCCAACAAATTCGGTCCCCAAATTCCAATCCTATCGCCGGGGTTTAAACCTACTTGTCTTAGTCCAGCAGCTAACTTATCGGCTTGGTGGAGGACCTCTTGAAATGTCAGCTTTTGACCCTGGGCTCTGGCATTAATAGCTAAACGGTCGCCAAACCTGTCCGCTGCATCTTCGAGTATTTTACCCACAGTTAGAGGTCTAAGACAATCTGTTCCAGGATTATGGATGTAGCTCAGTTTGTGATATTTCTTGAATCTAAAACTCAAAATGATAAACACAACAATACGATAATTAAGAGACTTTATTATTCCTATTGGATTGGAATAAAGTTAATAATATAGAGGCGGGAATACATCTATTATAGGCTTGGTGCATTCTCCGCCGGTGCCGCCACCATCGGAGAATATCGTAAACAATCGGCATATAAAAATACACGGGTTAAATAGCGAATATACGAAAAAAGTTTATATAAATTATTCACAAAAGTGTTAGAAAATATAATTTCTAAAATTCTAAAAAAATAATATTTTTTTTTTTTTTTTTTTAATAAATAATTTATTATTTAAACTAATAAAACTTTTTAGGTGAGTTCAACTACGGTAACGAGCATAGTTTTACAGGTTTTGCTAGTAGGGACATAACTTGGGCTATTTCGGCTATAATGAAATTTTTTTTAAAAGGTACATAATTATAATTTTAGAAGATATTCATAAAAAATGTAGCACTAATTTGATTAAAAAAAAAAAAAGTACTTATCGTAATATTGCAAATTATATTTTATCCTCTCGTAGTATATGTCTATTTAATTTTTTTGAATATCTAATGGGCACTTTGTTTACTCACCTGTTTCGTCGAACTACTTGAATCCATTTTGCTTTGTTCAAATCGGTGTGAGAAGCTGCGAAGCTATAAAATGTTGTTTGGAGTGTTGAATATCAGGAAAGTTGAGTTATTGAATGTTATTGCACCTAACAACCACATACTTAGCCCCTCTTTTGCGTTAACATTTTTTCGCTTAATTTGGTTAACATTTGAAATTGTCTACAACACAACGCGACGCCAAGTTCGGATTCTTTTCCGCCACTTTTTGCACTACCCAGCGTTACATTACACAAACCTAGTTTCTATAGTTGTTCATTAGTTTCAATAGCTGCACTAGCAAAAATACTTAAATATTATTATCATAAATCCACGATTCTAATACGATCAACATGAACTGCAACCGGGACGGCGTGAATTACAGAGCAAAAACGTCTGATTTCTGGCATTTGAGCGCTGCGGTCGGAATTTATTGAAATCAACTGAAATGCGCCAAACCTATTACATTGCCGATGTTTATTAAGTTTCTAGTAAATGTACTTGGAAGTATTTGTTAATTGGAAGAAAAAACATTATATCTTTTCGTTATTAAATCTAAGCAGGTAATATTTACATTTTACTGATACTATAGTTTCAATTTAACAATATATTATCATGTAGAGCGGAAACATAAATATGTTGTACAAATTCTAATTCAATCTAATAATACAGTATATTTACCTCTTTAGATCTCTAAACTGTCCAACTAGTACTTTTGTACGTCTTGAAAACATTGTTACTTAACTTGTAAGTTGTATGTAATATATAAACTGTTATTACTATTTATATTTTAATATATTTGGACAAATTCTACTGAAGTAAAATTAACAACGAGTTTTTAAATCTGTAAATTTGTAACTAATTCCATGTTTATTATGATCATTCAGGGTACCATCAGTTCAATACTTATCTTCCTGTTAAGCTTATTTATTAACGTCTATGCTTGTCTTAATTCGTTAGTGATAACTTTAAATTTGTGACCGTTCGTTAAAAAAATGTTAGTCGCAATTTTTCAGAAATATTTGCGATAAACATCTTACGACGATAGTTTGCAAAGTTTATAAATTTATTGTGGCCCATTAAATTGTTTTGGGTTTCCTTTAAATAAATGAAGATAATATAATATCTCTAGATGCAATATAACTTATCACATTTTGCTGTTTAAACTGCGATCGGTTTGTGCATCTTTTAAGTTTAATCTACCATAGCAACAGTATCAGAGAGAGAATCATTGTGAAATTGGGTGAAAAAAATTGAGTGGCTTTGGTAAAAGTACTTTACTGTGGAAAATACCATATAAAATCAAATATGCAGAATATCTTTGAGTGTTTAAAATTTTTAGGAGTTTAAATAGAAAAAAAATCACTTTTAATTTAGATTGTGGTTTCACTTGCTCCTTGTGTTTAGTTTCCATTACGTTTCCATTTACTCCCCTTTAATGTTTAATAAATTTTAGACGCTTATTACCTATAGAATGTCAGAGTTTATATAGTTTTTTTTTTTTTTTTTTTTTATTTATAATATGAAATACCATTGATATTAACGCTTTCTAATTTTTTAAATAAATAAAACTAGATTTAGGCAAATTGATAAATCACAGTCATAATTTCATAAACATTTTAAATAATAATTGTTGTGCACTAAATAAAGTACTTTTGAAACATAGTTCTACAAAATTTACGACTAAAATATGTCATAATAATAAAATAATGATTAGGTATGATATACCTATACAGGGTGGCGCCTCTCATACGCCGCTGAAGCTCCAAGGAGAACGGTAGTTTAAATCGAAATGAAATGTTGGCAACATATGTCGGTTTGTAGCATTTTTTATTTCCTTTAATAAAATTGAATTTAAAAATCTATTTTTATTTAAATTTCTTAGTATTGGCGCCATCTATTTGCTAGATGCCAAAGATATAAAACTTCATTTATAAATACCTATATAAAAAAATAAAAAAAAAATTTAATTTTTTATTAGCGCATCTATTCGCTAGATAATAATAACTTACATTTTACTTGTCTTGTTTATTAGCGCCATCTATTTGCTATATGCCAAACTTCTTTAATTGCATTTCACTTGTCTGTGGTGAAACTGGTGAAAAGGGTTTTTTGGTTTCGGGTTCTGAAACTGAGAATTGAGAAGAAGGTCTTTTTCTGGGAATTTGGATCTGAAGAAGACGCGTTTCGGCGTCCGACAAATTTTTCAGTGAAAAGCACTCTGAATCCACTTTTCGATTTCGATTGCATGGGTATCCGATTTGGAGATTTGAAAACCTTGTAAAGTATGCAATTCAGAGTATAGATCATATTTGTTTGGTTTCTTCTTGGAATGATCACCGTAGGTTTATCCACTTGTTTTATATAGCCTATCTAACTAAATTTCAGTTATTTCCGTTTGTTATTTCGTTTACTTGAGTATTTAATTACTGGTTTGGATCGGCATATGGTTTGAATATATTTATGTAAAGCTGATTTTCAGACCGTAAGTTGTTTCTTTTATTGAGTATCTGTCCTGAGAACTATTTTTTTTATTTATAGAGTAAATACCACATGGTATTCAGTAAAACTACCACATGGTACTCAGTAACTACCACATGGTACTCAGTAACTACCACATGGTACTCAGTAACTACCACATGGTACTCAGTAATTACCACATGACTTTAAGACAGTGTTCCTGACATTACAATCGTTCTTTTGGCTGATATTGAAGACTTCTCCTGCCATAGTCATCTGCATCCACTTCTGTTAGTCTGGAGAATACCTAACCACCTGTTTACATCATAGAAACTATATACAGATGAGTCTCCTCTCTCTTAAGTTTTGATACACAAGATGCGCTTTTTATTTTATAATTTTTGAGACAACAGATTTAATAACCTGGTAAATTATCACTATTTATCCCATTTTTAGTCAAATTATTTTTATTTAACGTTATAAGTTATAATTTGATTCGTACAGTACACTCTTACTTAGCTATGATATTTCATATGAAAATTATTAACACGTATTCATTTTAAAGGTTTTTGTACACGACTTGTTTCGAAACATCATCATATTGAGACATACATAAATTTCACCTGTTTTTATATTAAGTAGCTTACTTAGTTCAAAGAATACAGTTACTAAATTCGAATCTAATTAAAATAACTTGCAGTTTTATTGGAATCACTGGCGACTGTTCATGATACTTTGTGTGTTAAGTTTCAATAAATGTTTAATGTAGGATAGTTATTTCTGACTTTTATTACTGATAAACATAATAGACCTTAATGCTGTTGATTACTTTATTTTAGCTATGTTGTGATATCATATTTTTCTTTTTGGTTTCTTACTTACCACTCTCATAAACAAAGTAAGTGGCGCCCTTTTCACTGTCTTTGACCATACCTATTTGAATTCTTAACATCAATATTAAAAATCTCTACTCCATATATTATCATTTTTTTATTTAATATTTAACAACATTTATTAGAAAGTCACTGTGAGTCAGAAGCCTTACCTACGAACCCAGCTTTCCTCTAACCCTGAGCAACGGATTCTTTTTTCATTCTATTTGGGTAACGACAGAAAAGTCGTCACAGGTTAACTGAAAGCATTTTATAAAAATGTATAGAATTCCCATAGTGTATAGAATTCTATATAGTGTCCCCAAAAAAATTTACGCATCAAAGTTTTGTTTTTCCTAATGGAACACCCTATATATTAACTGATTTTCGGATTCTAGGAAAAACCTAGAATTATTCGACAAAAATTAGCTAGATGAAATCAAATGCTCAAAATACTTCCTATCCTGTTAACTGCATAAAATGATTGTTTTTTCAAAATGATCTTTTCATTTTAAAAGGCATACTATGTGGAGTTCTACTTCAAAAAGCAGCTACAATAATTTCTCTCATGATGTCGACATGCAAACATCGGTCAAGTTTTGTAAACATTGTCTTAACATATCTCCATAAAACCGCCCACTAGATAAAGCCAGGAGCATTTAAATAGTCTATTAATTGGTGAATGCACTGCATTCACCAGCTTCAATAGAATCATATCAATTCTCTCTGATGTAGGACAAGTTTGCATTTTCGGCAATTTTTTTTTTTTTTTTTTTTGTTTAACTGACACAAAGTGATAACTAGTTGTTAAGTTGGACTAATTAGACAGCTATGTTGAAGTAACGTCAGACATATCACAGCCACCTAGATTTTTATCAAATAATAAGGATCTACTCAAATAAATCATGTAAATCAAAAAATATCTAGGAAAATCTTTTTTTTGGTGAAACCTTAATAGTATTTGAAGGGCATGAATTCTCCATTGAATATCGGAATAATAGATTGTCCCATTTAAAATAAGAAGTAACATGCTTTTTAAAGGTGACCAATGTTCAATATTAATTTTGTCTCACCTGTATATAACTTTTGGATCAGAAGTCTTAGGATCAAGTTTTAATTTGATTTAAGGAACAATAGTTAATTTAACTATATATTAAGGCTATACCAGGTAAATTCAATTTAAATGGCTTTTATTGTAATTTAAATATTGTTCTTTATTTCTAGAAAATGGTAAATAATAAAATTTAAGTCATATACTCTTATAAAACTCACCATTATTTTTCTCCCGGAATCCGAAAATCGATTGGTATAATATAGGTCCATTACAAACAACACAAGCTTTAATGTGTAACTTTTGGGACACCCTTAGAACTCTCTACATTTTTAAAAAAGTGCTCTGAATTAATCTACATATGCTCACAAAATATAATTTCAATACAAACTGTCGTTCTCCTTGAAGCATCCGCGGCGCCACCCTGTACATACAAGGATGATTTCAAAACAATCAAATACAATATTTTACTATATTTTTTATATAAAAATATTAATGGTATTGAAGATAATTAATGTTGATAATTTTTTTGGCGTAAAGTGGTAAGTAAAATTTCGTTAACGTCTCTCCTTTTTGCTGCCAGGGCTAATCTGGACCAGGGCCTACTTTGTTTACGCGGAATCCGAACCGCGGTCCTCGGCATATCATGGTCAATGGCCGACTTGGCAAGTGTCTAAATCGACTCTTACTCACGAGATATCCGAACCGGTCTGGCCTCAAGACCGGCGTGAATGAGCAGTGTGTGTTAATAAATTTTACACTTTTGCCTTTTTTTGGACAACTAGTTCAGTCATTGGGGATTTTTGCTTGGAAAAAAGTCCGGAAGTTTTGCAACTTTGCAGGTTTATAGGTTCTCCTCACATTTTTCGTGAAAATGTGAGGAGAGCAAAATTAAAGAGAATAAAATTTCCTATAAAAAATGTTTTATAAAAAGTATTCGTTAAAGTCAACCGTTTAGGCACAAAAACCCTGGAAATTTTACAATTTTGCGTAAAATAACGAGCCTCATTATGTATAATCGATTTTCCGAAATCAAATGTCGATTAGGATTCACTAAAACTAGTTTTTAGTTTAGTTTCTTCAATTTTGTCATAAAACGGTGGCGTATCATTAATTCGCTCATTAATTGCCGAATAATTATTTAATCATGGAAAAATTGTACTTGTTTCCACACCACCCAAGAGGTAAAGTATATGGCGCGTTTATTTTAACGTGATGTCTCCCGGAGGCCTACTCCACTAGATAAATTAAAACTTTAACTTATCTGCACAAGCCCGACAGATCTGGCTCATTGATGCCAAAGTCGATCGTGTCTGCTGTGCTGGGCTCATCAGGGTGGTCTCTCAATACGTCCAACTCTTCATCTTCAGCCGCCAGAGGGATATCTACAGGCAAGTCCAACTCCTCTTCATCGGATTCGTCGAGTGACACTTCAGTGACGTTGTCACAGGATTTCCCATTGCAGTATGCACAAATCATTGAATATTTTAATCCTGCTTTTCTGCATCCACAGGCTTTATCATAGTTGTTGGTTTTGCATTTACAGGATAAAAATGCCAACAGGGATTTTGGAGCTGG